GATCTCTCAGATTCCTCTGATCTATTCCAACTTGTCAATTTGTCCCTGAGCTCTGTCCATGGCCATAGAAGCCTTTGCCTTAGAATTTTGAGGACTACCACCTTTGAGCCTAGACCGTTTTTCTTACTCCTTCTCTTCTCTACCCCTTTTTTCTCCACCTTCAACAGATTTTATTTCCTTTTGTATCTGGAATCTAATGGGAGGGTTAGTCATTCTCCATTTCTTCCCATCTACTCTTGGATAAAGGAGAGGGCTCTGATCCTGAGTGTGGAAGAGCTAAGCAGAGTCATCCTTCACAATGGACCTGTCGCTACTTGACTGTCCAAAATACCATCAAGCATTTCTCAGTGCAACATTTAACCTCTTTCACTGGCACATCTCTTGTAATTATTAGGCTGAAAAATTTTCTTTCTTTCTCATCCTGACTTTGCCTCAGAGAGCTTCCTAATGCTTCGTTCTTCATCATAGAACAAGAGAAGAATTCATCCTGCCACATTTTTGTGAGGCTCCTGTGGCCCTGTTTTGACCTACCTGCTTCCATGGGTATAGTTGATGGATAGGAAGAGAATCGCTTTTGGACAAAATACATAATATTTGTCAATATCTTTCTTAGGGCCAGCAGCTTGAACAAAGAAGTCTGTAGCCCAGTGATGAGATATTAAAAAGCACTCTCACACACAAATGATTTTAACCATAATGGTGAGGCATAGAGATGAAACTATAGTGAAGGCAGAAGTACTTCAGGGATTTATTCCAAGAGAATAATACCCCCAGTATCTGAATCAGCTTGGTACCCTTTATACCTTCTTTCTCACTCATGGACTGGGCCTGAGACATTCCAAAGCATTCTCCTTCCTCTGCCTCATCTATGCTGAACCTTGTCTTACAGGAACTCTTAGCCTCTGCCTTTCTACCCACTCTTCAGATCCATTTCTTACTCTCCACCCATTGCCTTGGACTTGATGTTTCAGACCTGCCCTCATTCCCACCTTACTTCAGCCAGGAATTCTGACACCAGTTCCTCCTTTTCCTGATCCCTGAAACCTAAGGTCAGTCCTACTCACCATCCACTATCTCCCACTAACCCCAAACTCCAACAATCAGCCCAAGCCAGAGCTTTGAGTTTCTTCCTTTCTAAGTTTTAACCCACCCCCCCCAAACTCCCTTTATCTAGGGAGCCAGGCTTGGCAGCTAACATACTTAGAGCCTCATAAAAACAAATAAGAATCTAGTGAAAAGCAGTATGGACTTTGCTGGGATTTGAAAATGTCTTTTGAGTTGGGGCACCTGGATGGCTCAGTCGGTTAAGTGTCCAACTTTGGCTCAGGTTATGATCTCATGGCTCGTGAGTTTGAGTTCAAGCCCCACATCAGGCTCTGTGCTGACAGCTCAGAGCCTGGAGCCTGTTTCAGATTCTGTGTTTCCCTCTCTCTCTTCCCCTCCCTTGCTCGCATGCTGCCTTTCTCTCCCTCTCTCAAAAATAAGCATTTTAAAAAATGCCTTTTAAGTCATTAAAAACTTACACCCTTGATTTAATAGAATGCCTTTTGCTATTCATCTATCCATGTATCTGTCCATTCCTCTGAACTTTGGAACATTCAATCCAAGTACCTTTAGTTGGAAATTTGTAATTTTCACATTAAACAGGGAATTCTTCAGCAAAAATTGATAATAGATGCTATTCTCAAGTAAGGCACTAGATGGAGCATGTGAATTTAAAGGAAATTTAAGCTGGTAGTTTACTGGTGACAAATCATTGAAAGAAAATTTAAAAATGTAAGCCAAATTATTCTGGTTAATTTCAACTAAAAATAGACAAATATTAAAGAACATAATACTTTCTATGAGTATATGTAAAGTCTAAGATAATTTTTTAAAAACAAATAAAAACTGGAATAATTTTTTCTCTTCAGTAGACCCTCCAAACCCCATAGCCAAAGCAGGAAAATGAAGCAGTTGGCAGTTTCAGAATGCTAGTTGGGGAAGGCAGAACTAGGGATATCAGATATTTTTCTTCACTGGTTGAGAAAGTGAAGTGGTCTTGATAGAGTGGAAATACCTTGCATCAACATCAATTTCTAGATTGCCAGCTTCGATTTTGGAAGCAAATATTGTCTAAGGAATTTGATGGCCAACAAGCATGGGAAGAGGTGATACATGGCTAATCACAGCAGGTAACATATTTTAAAAGTTGTTTATAAAATATAATAACGGGAAAATTTTTGTGAGAAACCCCGATTTGCAGACAGCATCTGCATGTTTCCTGGAGATTAAATTTGTGATAGATAGATTGGCATATAGACAGGGCTCAAAAGATAATAGCTTCGATCCTGGTGGTATTGCAATGTACATGTTCACCTTGAAAGTCACAACTTTCTCTAGAGTTTATTTGTGATGTTGCACGTGAGGTTTTGTCGGTATTTCCATATTTGGTTGGCTGTAAGAATGTCATCTAGCATGAAGCTTGACATCCCTGTCTGTGGTTCAGGCTGCTTTTAAGTTCAGGTCAGGAGTTACTGGAGGAAAAATAATCCCTGGGAAACCTGCCATTGATTCAGTGGTATTTCAGATTCTGATTTCCCAGTCTGCCTGTTACCATTCACTTTTCAGAGTCACATGCACTCTGTCCAGGCTATTGAGCCACATTCAGGAGAGAGGCACAGTGGAGAGTGCTTACTCCATCTTGACTGGAACCAGAGCTGTGGATGATTTTTTAATTCCTGATTTTCTTTGTTGAAGATGTATAGAATAAACTCTTCGTCTATTTCATACAACTGCAAGATATGGATTTAGGAAGGAGATAAACTAGCTGAATTTAATATGAAAAGAATTATTTTATAAAAAGGGTATTGTGATATTTCATTTCATGATGAACTTCAAGGGAAAAAATGCTTAGGTTTTATGTGGAGAGGATTTGGCCAGATATATGCACCCTCCTACTGTTTTATTTAGCGAGGTGGCTAGCTAGAAGCAGCCTCTGAGTTTTAGTAAAAATTTGTATTTCAATTCAATCTGATTTCTCTTTGACATCACTAATATGTTAGGACACAGATGAATAAATGCTTCTGTTTAATAATTTTTAAAATGCTTAGGTTATAAATTTGATTGTATTAAGTAAATTTACGCTTCATGTTTTGAATCTCTCTGTGAATTAGCAGCAAGACTGGTTCTAGCACTGGAAATGACTAATACCATGCATGCATCAGACACTCTTTCTTCAAGTCTGCCAATGCTGGGAATTGGGAAGTAAAATTTAATTTAATAGGCAGAAAGAAGGAAAAAAAAGTCAATGTTTGCCCATTTCATTTGTATTTATAGAGTCAAGATTCAATATGTAGAGCTGTTGAGTTTGCTTCTTCCCTTTTCCCTACTTCTGTGAAATGCATGTAGCAAGGGACAAAGTGTACAGTAGGATGCTAGGACGCCCACATGGTACTTAGGGTAAAATGTTCAGTAAAGCTGGCTTCTGGGACCTGGCAAAATAACACTGTATCCTATGAAACTGTGATGATGGTGAGCATAAAAGGTGCTGGTGAAGTACCGTGCAGTGATGCTTCTCTGCTGCTGAAATGATAGTACCTGGGAGGCATTTTCATGTGATTTTTTTTTTAGTTATTGGTATTCCAAGTAATATGTAGACTTGTGCAAATTGTTGATTCCAGATTTTGATAAGGTTGTAAGAATAGTGCTTGGTAACTTTTTTCAACTTTTTTTGCATTTCTGTATCAATGACTGTATCGT